TTTCTTTTTTTTTTTTTCCTTGTAAGATTTTTTTTTTTTATAACTAAATGTACTCAGAAATTGCATGTTTTAGTATATTGTATGTGGATTGTTTAAAATTTGATAGGTGGAATGTAAAGTGCCCTCCAATTATGGAATGACCCAAATAGAGTATATGTCCAAAAGATATTTGATGATAAATAACATATTGAGGGGAGAATAACGGGTCTGGGTCACTCATTGATTAGGAGGGGTGTCCAAAGCCTTTTGTCTGCACTGTCTTGTTCTGACAGTGCTGTACACTGTTACCATACACGCAGCTCTGGTTCACAGGTAAACCTTCATGAATTAATCTTTGGCAAACACAATGACTGGTAGCCATTTCAATAGCGTTGACCCAATTGTATCCATTGTCTCCAGACTATGTCACGAATGCGACAGACAACAAAACCTTCCCGAGACGCCAACGCCAAGTTTCATATCACATCGTCATATTTACTGCTCGGGCAGTGCCAAATACGTTTTAAGATGAATGCTCAGCCATTACCCAAAAAATGTCTCACATTCGCCCCCTCCACTGGAGCACCGCACGCGCTGAAGATCACGCGGGAAATGTTTGACTCCGCACATTCATTGTTCATCTACACGTAGTTCGAGCCACAAATAAGGAACAATGCAACATTACCTTCGATCAGACGATACGACTGTTCCACTCGTGTGTTTCAGTGTTCCGTTGCACGCAGGGTAAACGCGTCCTCCATCGCTCAGTTGCTCCTTGCCTCTGACAACAGTCAGGGTGTGGGGTGCACGCACACAGTGCAAGTAAATATATAACAATTTTATGTATATATACATATATATATATATATATATATATATATATATATATATACACGCACACATACATACACACGCGAACACTGCGCAATAAAGATCAAAGAAATAGGAACATTTACAGATTGTACTATAACGCATGTGTATGTAAATGAACTTATTAAAATAATTGGTAGTGGTCAGTTGGGTTGTCATTTTTACTCCTATTTCAAGAGATTTAAGTCTCTTGTAAGTGAAATCAAAAGAGCAGTATATACATTCACCCATCCATCCATTTTCTGAACTGCTTGATCCTGAGGGTTGCGGGCGAGCCTGGTGTTTCAATTGCTGGCCTATCTTCAGAAAAACAATGTTTTTTTTTTTTTTTTGATCACGTAATATTAGTTGAAGTACTGAGCCCTGGTTGTGTTTAACAGGAAGCATAATTACTGTAATTATTTTCCAGACGTGCGAATTTTTTTACATTTGTGATGATGATGCTGATGATGTCACATTCTAGTTTGATGACAACGTCGAGCATTTTCCACTCTTACCAGCAGAGGCCAGTAAATTATACTGAATGGTTTGCGGTGGGATTTGCTGACTCATCCCTCGAAATTATCGTGCAGCCGTAGCCCACACGTCAAAATAAAGGAAATACAGTATACAAGTAAGTAATAAAAGGTACACGTCGCACATTATACAAGTAAGCAATTATACTAAATTGCCTGTCAGTAGAATGCGGGGGGGAAGTCATGCTTTTTCAAAATGTTATGTTGCGTGGTGGTGGTGGGGGGGAGTCACGCTTTTTCAAAATGTTATGTTGCGTGGTGGTGGTGGACCCCAAAAAGCAGGCAGGAAGGAGGAGCAAGTTGTACTTGACAAAATGTCTTGATAAAAACACAGAAAACTAAATCCCAAACAAACAAATTCCTGAAAAGTTAAAAACAAAAATAATCCAAAGGAGCAAACCAAAACCATGACTGAAGCAAAAAAACTATCAACAGAAACATGACAGGAAGAAACACGACAGCAACAAACAAACAATGACCGGACACTGAGTGGTCGTGCCGGGAGTCCTTTTATACAGACAACTAATGACACAATGACCAACAGGTGTGCCCCTGCACGTGGAGCCCTACAGTGCCACCTATTGGTCACAAACAGAACCGTGACACAAAATAATTCAAAAGACCCGGAAATGGTAACTCGCACATCTGTCTGACTCACTGTCAAGAGGTTGTGGGTTTAACTCTCGGCTCATGCCCTTCTGTTTGGAGTTTGCATGTTCTCCATGTGCTTGTCCAAAAACATGCATGTTACAGGTTCAGTGAAGACTAATTGTGTGTGTGGTTGTTTGCAGGGGGATTCTAAGATCAGAGGTTTTGGAGTGCTCAACTAAGAAAGATGAGTACAGTATTTGTATCGTAATACTAATTCCATATGTATGAAAGATGAGCAAACCCTCGGAATGTTTGTGACTAAACTATTAATAGAATATATCTATCCTAAACATTCATAATTAACAACATATTGTAACTTGGGCGGCCCGGTGGTCCAGTGGTTAGCGCATTGACATTTATCCTAAACATTCATCATTAACAACATATTGTAACTCGGGCGGCCCATTGGTCCAGTGGTTAGCGCGTTGACCTCACAGTGCAGAGGTTTGATTCTAGCTCCGGGCTTTCCTGTGTGGAGTTTCTCCGGATACTCCGGTTTCCTCCGACAGTCCCTAGGTGTGAGTGTGAGCGTGGATGGTTGTTTGTCTCTGTGTGCCCTGTGAGATGGCTGGCAACCGGTTCAGGGTGTCCCCCGCCTACTGCCCGAAGACAACTAGGAAAGGCTCCAGGACCCCACTGCGACCCTTGTGAGGATAAAGCGGAACGGAAAATGGATGGATGGATATTGTAAACCTATTGGCACAGTGACCAGATCTCGCGTGACTCGAGAAGTCACATGAATTTATGGGAATAAGACATTAAAAGACAATATATGGTTTTATGAATCAATATTGATCGATGAAAGGGAAAATCGATTCACTTTCATTCATCGATATTTTTTTTTTAACCAAACCGTAAATTGTACCTTCACATTTGTCAGGAAAAGGGATGCACAGTATATTGAAAAAATATTGTTATCACCATAATGGCCCATGCAAGATGTATATTGCAAAGGCTCATGCCTTTCATATAATGAGTTTCATCTGGAATTGTATGCTTTTAGTTAAATTTGACTAGTAGTCCAATTGAATATTCATTGCCATTCATTGTCACGGTTCGGACGAACCGAATAATGTTTTGGATCCCAAAAGTAGTAGACTCCAGACAAAAAACGTTTGTTATACAAAAACGCACTGACAAATTAGTAACATAAAGCGCTGGTCAAAACAAGGACCAGGAAACACAAAAACTAAACCATAGTGCCGAGAGATCAAGAGTGAACACGACAAAAGCGAGAGGTTGAGAGAAAAGGTCAAATGAGCAAGGGCAGCAGCAAGGCAAACAATTCCCCGACAACTAGCAGACAGTTTGTGGGTCCTTAAATACCAAGTTCCCTAATGGCAAGATTGGCAGCAGAGGTGCAACCCGCAAGTCTGCTCAGCCTGCCACCTGCTGGCGAAGGCCGGAACAGGAACATGACACCCATAAATGAACAGTATCAAGGGGCATTACAATTAATGAGCTAAGAATACATTGAGCTGATTAGGGTATTTTGCCACATGAAAAAAAAATCTTTCATTCGATTATAAAAATTATCATTTGTTTAGGTACATATTAAATATCGCAATAATATCGATATTGCATGTTTTTCCTTTCTTGAGCAGCCCTAGTCAAGACTCTTAGTAAAGACAGACCTTCCCTTTAAACTCACCCCATTATTTTAAGTGAATATCAAGCTTGCGTCACTGCATCAGAATAAATACAGATGTGAGGAATATACACATTTTAGGTACATGTACACTTCATTGATCCCTGTGAGCCCTGCATTATATTGCCAAATATGTTGGATCATGGGGAGGAACCAAATTCTAAATTTTCATCCTGAGCTGCAAAAGAATAAATTAGCGTAAACAGCAATCCCTCATTTTTCACGCTTAATGGGGCCCAAATCCCCCGCCCCCACAAAAGGTGATAAAAATTACAACAGTACACCACACATATTTACTTTAATCTTTAATTATAAATCCTTATACAGTAATTAACATTCATCAATCTTGCCTTCTGAGCGAGGCGAAGACGCTTGAGTTGGTGGCATCACTCAGAGACTCTTCTGCAGGCGCTGACGGTGTCTGTGAGGGTTTTAAATTGGAGAGAAACATAGTGATGGATACCACTCTGATGTTCTTGTCTTCTGATTTGAAATAGGTTTAAGGTTTCTTTTATTACCAGACAATCTTTTTTTTTTTTTTTTTTTTGGAAAACCACTGCATTGTACATTACATTTCAGTTTAACATAATGTATCTTATATTGGTATACATTTTTCTTCCTTCCTCACTTGTGTTTTGTTTTCATTTTCACTATTAGTAGTGCTGATTATAATAGGAACCTTTTTGGATAGACACATGCAGAACGAACTTATTCACGTGACCCACAAAGCCTAAAATAACTGCCTATGCTGACTCAAGGCTCAGTTGTCTGTCGTCTTTGTGCACAGATGAAACATTGTTTTGATCACAATGGCAACAAAGAGCCACATCAAATTGCGTTGCCTGGTACGATTAGTGCCAATGTTATAAATAGACCCTCTGTGTTATTTTCAGCTCATTTTGTCTTGTACAGTTCAATACACGATGAATGTAAGAGAGGTAAGTGGTACCGGTTACTCTTATACTCCCATGAACATGTTTGCCTTTTGAGCAACTATTTAAAAAAAAAACACTCATACTCATATGTTAGCAAGTATGTTTAATATAGTCCTCCCCGGAGTTTTACAAACACCGAATGCTCAAGTGCTGTCAATAGAGAGGAAAAATAATCATCTTCCCATTCTCCTTCATTGTTGTCATTGTTCTCACTCTCAGCAGTCAGTTTCAGAGGTGTCATGAATCTGATCAACATAAATTTTAAAATCTCTCATTTTGTTTCAACCAATGATGCTTTGTGACATCAAATAGTCACATCACACGTTACCCAATCAAAAATGCTACTTCCACCGGGGCCACACCTACAAGTCCTCCCAGTTCATCTTGCACTCAACACCCTTTCTCCAGACACAGTTGTCATGGAGATAGAAAAGAGTTCAGCGTCCATTAGTGGTACTGTTACCATGGAAATTCCTTTTGTCGCCGCTACTAAGCAAGCCAAGCCAGGGGAGGCTGTTGAGCATCAGGATCATCCTCATGCTGGAGTTGCTTTACAGCGCAACAAATATCGCATGCTGATTGTGATTGGCGAGATTTCCACCAGCGTTGACCTGGACTCTGCCAGAAAACAGATCACACAAGGTAAGACTGAAAAGGAGTTGTCAGTCTGATCTAACGCTGAAGAAAAATAACTGCTACTCAAGAGTATTTGGAAATCTGGTACAAAATAACATGGAATTCAAAACAAGAAAAATATCGTTCCACGTAGCTGACTCAATTAAATCGTACTGACACCATAGATGTGAAATAGCTGTTTTTGTGGTTTGTTTTAGACACCTGTTAATCTATTTTGGCAATAGAAAAACTAGCAATCAATAGTATGAGTAAAATACAGTGATGTGAAAAAGTATCCCCCGCTTCCTGATTTCTCTGTTCTTTGCATTTTTATCACACAGAAAGATTTTAGTTAATCAAACTAATTTAATATCTCACAGAGACTCCCGAGCAGGAGTTCAGAACATTCAGAAATAGATCACCACGTTCCTTTAAAATGCATCCATTTTCCGATCCGCTTAATCCTCACCAGGGTCGCAGGTGTGCTGGAGCCCATCCCAGCTGTCTTCGGGCAGTAGGCGGGGGACACCCTGAACCGATTGCTAGCCATTCGCAGGGCACACAGAAACGAACAACCATCCACACTCAGACTCACACCTCGGGACAATGCATGTTTTTGGAATGTGGGAGGAAACCGGAGTACCTGGAGAAAACCTACACATGCCCAGGGAGAACATGGAAACACCGGGAGGCCGGAATCGAACCCTGCACCTCTGCACTGTGAGGTCGACGCGCGAACCACCCCCGCCCCCTTCCTTTAAAATAAAATTTCATGTGACGTAGAAATTAAATTAATGTTGTTTCCTCCTTAGCTAATCAAGGACATTTAGGCCATCCCTCAAAACACAAACTGAAAGGAAGACATGATTTGAATACAAAAATGTAGAATCACAAATCATCATGCAAAACATTAACCATGCAACATTCAACTGCTACGCATGTAGCACGTTCTATGCGATTCTCACTTCTTTTATTTTAATCTACCAGGTTTGCTCTCCTGGAATGTTGATTTGAGTATCTGCGACCTGAACAAGGAGCTACAGCTGTTTGAGACCAAACACACGGCTCAATTTTCGTCACTGGTCAAAGGTTAGTTTAATCTATTTCAGAATGCACTTGTTGGGTTCAGGGCTTATTGTTCTCTGCCATCTCTGTATTTAAGTTGTTTTCTGGTGCTTGACCATGCGTGTACTGTGAACAATGAGCTGGGAATGTAGCGTCGCAGCCTGTATCGATGAAATTCTCACACATAACAAATTGAGGCTCGGGAATCAATGACAGAAGATATTTGCTGTTTATTCTTGCTGTGCTCTGGACTTCTCATTGTTCTCATTTAAGCATCTTGTTAGCCTGTCATCTCTCTCTCTCTCTCTCTCTCTCTCTCTCTCTCTCTCTCTCTCTCTCTCTCTCTCTCTCTCTCTCTATATATATATCTCTCTCTCTCTCTCTCTCTCTCTCTCTCTCTCTCTCTCTCTCTCTCTCTCTCTATATATATTTATATATATATATATACATATATCAAAACATGAACTTGTCATATGTGATAAATAATAATGTTCAGAGATTGAAAGCGCTTTCTTGTAACAAAACCTCTTACAACTTAGTAAACAAACTGTAATCATCCACTTATGG